TTCGATGATCAGAAGAAGCTAAAAAAAATCTGTGATCGTCGAATTCTGCAAATTAAGATGATACATTGGCTGAACCAGCTGCGATCAGCGTTTGGCGTCGCGTTTCTGTGGCTCGTTTGCCTTATTTACTTCACTCAGGTTTTGATTCTCTGGATTTTTCTTTTGTTTTTCGGTAATTCATCTGGAAATGGCGATTCTCGTTGAACCAAAACAGAGATGTTGTTGTATTCTCGTTGCGGATTATTGATAAAGCAGAGAATCCCATTTTTTTCCGTTTTCGTCGTTCTACGTACACCAAATCGATTAGGGATTCGAAACTTCTGATTTAGGAATTTTCCTTTTTAATTTGAAGTTTTTAGGACCAAAATTCTGGCGTCATCCTCTGTTTCCACAATAGCTTTTGGTATTTAATTAGATGATCACTGTGTACATTGTTGAGATTGGTGTGCTTAATTGCGTGTTATTAGCGATTAATCCGTTAGAAACTTAGGATTTTGCGTTTTGCAGGATAATCAAAATGATTTGGTGATTTTGTTTGTATATAGGGATTTAGATCGTTTGTGTGGACAGCTGTTTCGTACCAGTTGAAAGACAAGCTTCAGTTATCACCATCAGCTTCTCAGTTCGTGTTTTCTGTAGCCTTCTTTCCATGGAGCATAAAACCATTATATGGGTAATGACTCTTCATCAATCAAAGCTAAATGACACTGAGAGTACGTAGGAGCTTAGAGTAATAATGGCGTGTTCTTTCTCTTTTGCTTCTTTTTGTAGAATCATTTCAGATTGTATCCCAATCAGAGGGAAAAAGAGGACGCCGTATTTGGTGATATCGACTGTGCTCTCTCTTGTGCCATGGCTCTTGCTTGGTCTAGATTCAACCTCGCGAGATTCCAGTTTGTATCTGATGATTTTGTTGACCGTACAAAATCTTGGGTCGGCCATGGCTGATGTTGTGGTAGATGCCATGATAGCTGAGTCAGTAAGACTTGAAAAGTACGATTTTCTATCATGGTTTAGTGAATGATTTTTCGGCGAAACAGGGATCTTATTCATTAGTTGAGTTGTCTTTTAATCGTTTATCAGGTCCTCCTTTGCTGGAGATCTTCAGTCTGTCTCATGGTTTGCTATGGCTGTGGGCGGAATATGCGGTAGTCTATTAGGAGGGTATGCATTAACCAACTTGAAGATAGAAACAATATTCCTCCTTTTCACGGTACTACCAGCGCTACAACTACTATCATGTGCACTGGTTGAAGAATTTCCTGGTAACGATGAACCATTGCCCGAGCTGCTGGATTCAAACGGGTTTGAAGAGAAAAGCAAGATGAGCGATGATAATTATCGAGATACAAAGAAGTCCACAACAAGAAGAAGGAAGGGACAGAAGAAAGGTAAAAAAGGAGCTTCCAATGGAAAATCTGAGACACAGAAGAAGCAATCAAAGTCTTTGGCTTCACAGTGGTTCCAGTCACTGAAATCAGCCACTTTTGGTTTATGCCGTGCGTTCAAGCAACCGATCATTTTGAGGTAATACACACATTCTTTATTAGTCGCTTTCAAAAATTCTTGAATTGATGTTTCTCATTTACTTTCTCTGGTTTTCCAGACCAATGGCATGGTTTTTCATCGCGCATATCACTGTGCCAAATCTCTCTACTGTCATGTTTTATTACCAAACCGAGGTCTTGCAATTGGACGCTTCTTTCCTAGGAAGAGCCCGTGTTGTTGGTTGGATAGGTCTCATG